ATGTTTCAGAGATAAGGCTTTTTGTCTTCTCTTGAACTGTCAACAAATCCGGGTAACTACTATTTAAGCAGAATCCTAACCTGCTTCCTGGCTTTAAGTCTTTTTGTTGTTTGTTTTTTTTTTTTGAGAGGTTTTTACAATAGAGCGCGGGCACTAGCCAGAAAGATAGTGACAGAGAGAGAGAAAGCATCCCCAGGAAGGATGGCCACACTGCAATCCCTTCTCCATTCTCCTCTCAGGATCTTGGGCACGCATGCACACGCACCCAGCATGAGTTTAAGCCACTGGGTCTGGGACTTGAACTGTGGTCAACTACATGGGAGTCCAGCAACATAGCCATTATGCCAACTGCTGGTCTCACTGGCTTTAAGTCTTAAGCAAAGTTCTCTTAATATTTTTGTATTCTGATTTATTAAAACTAAAACTGCCTTTCTTAAAATGAAAAAACATTTTAAAATACCTATTTAATGACCACAGTAAGCTATATAGCCTCAGCTAGGTGTCTATTTTATAGTATATTCATTCTACTCACAGTTAAATGCCTAAAGTCAAACATGTGTTCACAGATATTTATATTATTAGCTGAACTACTGAAGGTAGTTCGATCAATTAATATATTTTGTTAACCAAGAAAATTTGGAAGAAAAAAAAGGAATGGAAAGCAATGGCAGATACCAGAGATAGTGTAGGAGGAGAGTGGGATATGGCAGAGGGTGAGAAATGGGGGAGGTATTATTTATACACACACACACACACACACACACACACACACATATATAAAACAAGAAATGGAAAATTGTTTCTGACAACACATATGACTAAGCTACTATATTGTGTATTCTGGATGGAAACTGCATCTTGTACACTGTGATGATCAGTGAATGAATGCAAAATAAAAAATTAATATAAAAATTTAAAAAACTATATATTTATAATTTGGTCTTCTAAGCTGATAAATTTTGAGATTTATTGACTGCTTTGAAAAATGTTAAATTATAGGAGCTAGAAAATAATGAAGATGCCTACAACATATTTAATTAAGACTGTTCTGCAGTTCACACTCACCAGGGACAGGTTCCATCTCAGTAGACGACTCATTTACCTCAATTTAACCTCTAGAGTACCTTGAACACAGGGTCAGAAACCCTTCAGTTACATGGAGCAGTATACCTAATTTTTTTTTTAAAGAAACCCTTCAAATCTTTCTATAAAACTACAGTAGGAAAAAAAAAATCTAAACCACCTACCTAATCCACATTTGGGAAACAATAAACTAAATTATGTAGGTACAACGCTGGAGAAGGAATGTCTGCGCCCCTCAACAAAGAAACTAGCTGTCATAGCTGGACTTCTACTTAACAAATGCCAAGCATCCAAAAGTAGCAGCAAATGTTTACTTGCTACCACAAATCAGAACTAAAAGCCATGTGTGGTTCTACCATCATACCTACTTTCAGAGAAAAAGATAAATACAACTGAAGTTTCTTGTTTTTTTTCCCCCAATTGTTACTTTACAGCTATAAAAGGTAGGTCATGAGTCCAAACTGTACTTTATTAGCTACTAAAACAGTATATCAATTTAGTGCCCCAAACTGAAAGGGAGGATTAGATCCCAAAGTAAAAATAGTCATTCAATAAATATTTAGGTAGCCAGTCAGTACAGATTTAGAATGAAAAGAGAAGAGGAGAGGAGAGGAGAGGAGAGGAGAGGAGAAGAGAGGAGAAGAGAGGAGAGGAGGAAAAGAAAAAAAGAAAGACTGCTACATGAAATTCAAAGACCTTAGAGCACATAAAAGCATTATCATGAGTGGGTCCTATCATTCCCCATAGAAAAAAAATTTATTACAATGAGTTTAATAATATTATAAGGCTAACAACAGTTTGGGGATTCTAAGTAAGTATAGTTTTGTTTGATGCATCTTTGCCCAACTCTTCAAAAGGAGCAGTGCTTATCCAGTCTAATATAACCACCTTTGTATCTGTTATAAATTAATGCTATAACAAGAAAATGAAAGTTGATACCAATTAAATTTTTATTCAGAGATTTTTCTAATCAACAAACAATAAATATAACTTTGCTTTGGGGTACACACATGCAAAATGACGTATACAATTGATCGTAGAGTTGATGCTATGCTGCTTTGCTAACGGGACAACTTACTCAGCTCATTTCCGTGTCTGATACTAGGCTACTTATACTGTGAGAAGATATCAGGAAATGCATAGTTCTAAAAGTTCACTATTAAGAAAGACAAAGCTTTTTAAAAAAATGCTGTACAGGGACCAGCAGTTATCATAATGGCTATGTCGCTGGACTCCCACGTAGTCAACTGCGGTTCGAGTCCCGAACCTGGTAGCTTAAATTCACGCCAGGCATGTGTGCATGCATACCCAAGATCCCGAGAGGAGAATGGAGAAGGTATTGCGGCATGGCCATCCCCTCTGGGGGGTGATTTCTTGCTTTCTGTCTCTCTGTCTCTCTCTTTCTGGCAAGTGCATGCGCCCTATAGCAAAAACCTCTCCAAAAAAAAAAAAAAAAAGGAAAAAAAAGCTGTACAAAAAGATTGTATTCTGTGGCACTAACTATGAATGCAGAAAATATTTTTAAAAGGGCTATATCTCTATCGAATACAGTAAGAACATTTTAAAGGAGGATATGCAACATGAACCCTGAATTTGATTCAATATGGGACGGGCCAAGAAGAAAGAGAAGCGTTCTTAGAAAATGGAAGGAGAATGTCTTGAGATGAAGATGGTACAGGATATAGGTTGGTGGTATGGGATCATACACCCAGAATCTTCTTGAATAACACTATAAACCAATTAGACCTAACAGACTTCTACAGAACACACTTTCCAACAATAGAATACTCATTCTTTTCAAGCACAAATTGAAGTCTCAGTAAGTTTATAAGGATCAAAATCAAGCAAAACATATTCTCCTAACACTTTAACTTAGAAATCAGTAAAATCAGGAAATCTGAATGTTGCATGCAGAATGAAATTAACACATTCTAATAGCTAATGAATCAGGGCCATCAGGCAGCATAGTGGTTAGGACACTGGACTCCCAAGTGGCCAACCACAGTTCAAGTTTTGGATCTGGTGGCTCAAAAAACATGCTGAGTGCTTGTGTATGTATGCCCCAAATCCCAGGAATAAAATGGAGAAGGGACTGAGGTGTGTCCAACTCCCCTGAAGGGTGATTCTGTACTTTCCCTTTCACTGTCTCTCTCTGGCAAGCACACGTCTTGCAGCAAAAACCTTAACACACACACACACACACACACACACACACACACACACACACACAACAAAAACAAAAAGAAAAAAACCTAATAGATCAAAGAAGAAATCACATGAAAAATTAGAAAATATTTTTAGATGAATAAAAATAAAAATACAATATATTAAAACTTATAGGAAACAAATATTCAAATAAAAACTTGTACTTAAGCTCAGCCACAGTGGCTTGCAACACTAAAACACTGTGCTCCACAGGTTGAGATGACATGGGAGGCCCAGGTTCAAGTCCCAAACCAACCTAAAGGCCATGCAGTGGCATGAACCTATAATCTCAGAAATTCAAGAAGCTGAGGCAAGAGGATCATGAGCTTGAAGGGCCCTGGGCAACAAAGTGAGAGCCTCTCTGAAAAACACAGGCATGTGGGAACCAGCAGTTAGCGTAATGGCTATGTCGCTGGACTCCCACGTAGTCAACCGTGGTTCGTGTCCCGGACCCGGTGGCTTAAAACTCACGCCGGGCACGTGTGCGTGCGTGCCCAAGATCCCGAGAGGAGAATGGAGGAGAAGGGATTGCGGCGTGACCATCCCTCTGGGGGGTGATTTCTCGCTTTCTGTCTCTATGTCTCTCTCTGTCTGTCTGGCGAGTGCACGCGCCCTACAGTGAAAATCTCTCCAAAAAAAAAAAAAAAAAAACACAGGCATGCTACTTTGGTCCCTGCTGGGAGACTGAGGCAGAGGACTGTGATGATCTTAAAAACAAACAAACAAACAAACAAACAGGGACCAGCAGATGCATAATGGTCGTTGGACTCCCACATGGCTGACTATAGTTCAAGTTCCAGACCCGGTGGTTTAAAATTCATGCTGGGCACATGTGCATGCATGCCCCAAATCCCAAGAAGAGACTGGAAGAGAAGGGACTGCGGCATAACCATCCTCTTTGGGGGTTGATTTCCTGTTTTCTGTCTCTCTGGCAAGTGTGCACATACCCAATGGCAAAAATCTTTCTAAAAAGCAAAACCAAACAAACTTGTACATAGATGTTTTTAACAACTCTAGTCACAAAAGCCAAAACAATGGGAAATAATTTAACTGTGCACTAGTTAATAAATAAGAAAACAAATATGATATATCCACACAACGGATTATTATTCAGTCATAAAATGTCTTCAAAAAGTTCATCAAAATGTGTATTGTGAGAAAACTATCCAGCCATTTAAAAACAATTTTTATACTAAGATAAACTTGTACTTAAATTCCATTTTTCCACAAGTCTTCCAAAATGTGCCCATACAGCCTACAACATTTCTAAACCCTGAAAATATGCTAACTGAAAGAATCCAAATACAAAGGTCCACATATTATATGACTCCATTATAGGAAATATACGGAATAGGCAAAGAGACAGAAAGTAGATTAGTAGTTGTCAGGAACTGGGACAATGAGGAAAGAGGAATGACTGCTATGGCAAGGAGGTTTTCATTTGAGGTGATGAAAAATTCTGGAGTGGTGATGGTTGCACAGCATTATGAAATGTACTTAATGGTACTGAACTGCACATTTTAAAATGATTTAAATGGTAAATATTATGCTAAGTATATTTTATAATTAATAGAAGAAAAATTTCATATTCTTTTTAAATAATGTTAAAAATAAAATATTTTAAACAGAGATTCAGAATCAAAGACAGAGAACCATAATTTTAGCAGTATATTTAAATATAAAAATTGTCAGTACATAATTATGCTCCGTACTTGTATGTGAGGCCAAGAGGCCTCAAGCGTGGGTTCATCCTCTTCTGGGTCAAAATCTGGATTATCACTTGGAGGAAGAGTACGGAAGATGTTAGCACTTATCTGTAAAGAAAAATTTAGGTTTATGTTGTCATGTAATTTAATTCAATAATGCAAAATGAAGTATTTTAAAGATCACTTTAAGAAAAAAACTAAATTGTGACTGTAAGCCTAGTTCAAACTTACAAACCTGTTCAAGATATGAAGAAGGCAAGTGTTTTTTTTTTTCTGTTTCCAATAACCCTAACTTCCTCAGATCCCAAGCTAGTGAAGATTACAGACTATCTCTGCGTTCCTCTTTCTGTAATTATAAGCTGCTCTTTCCCATGTTTTATAGAAAAATAAAAAGGGGAGAGGACAAGAGAAAAGGGAGGAGAGGAAAAGGAAGATAAAGGAATTTGGGGAAAAAAAGGTAAATGTACTAACTATGTATCTCTCTCTCTCTCTCTTTTTTTTTTTTTTTTTTTTTTTTTTTTTTTTTTTTTTTTTTTTTTTTTTTTTTGGAGGTGCGTGTACTCTCCAGAGAGACAGAGACAGAAAGCAAGAAATTCCCCAGGGGGCTTGGCCATGCCGCAATTCCTTCTCCTCCATTCTCCTCTTGGGATATTGGGCACCTACACACATGCACCCAGCCTGAGTTTAAGTCACCAGGTCTGGGACTTTTACCGTAGTTGACTACATGGGAGTCCAGCGACATAGCCATTATGCCAACAGCTGGTCCCATAACTATGTATCTCTTAGTTGATCCTTTTTTATCTTTGAAGAACTCCTCCCATATTCTAACTCAGTTATATCCTATATATATCTTATAACTCAAGAGTTTAGTAAAACATCGCCATTCTTATATATACATACAACAACAAAGCCTTCACTATTACTAGAGACGTGATTTATAATACCCCATATGATTTAATTGTATTTCATCTACTCTGAGACTTTGAAAAAAAAAACATATTAATCTCAGGACCAGCAGATGGCATAATGGCAATGTCGTTGGACTCCCATGTAGTCAACAGCAGTTCAAGTCCTAGACCTGGTGGCTTAAACTCACACCAGGTGCATGTGCATGTGTGCCCAAGATCCCGAGAGGAGAATGGAGGAGAAGGGATTGCAACATGGCCATCTCCCCTGGGGGGTGATTTCTCACTTTCTGTCTCTCTGTCTCTCTGGCGAGTGCGCGTGCCCTATAGCAAAAAGAACTCTCAAAAAAAAAAACACCAAAAACCATACTAATCTCTCTGCAATTGGTACGTGCTTTGAGATTCTTTATTTTATATTTGATGAAATATAATATTTATAATTTCATCCTTTGTATTATCTGGACCAGTACCAAGGTAAATAACATGTTTTTTTTTTTTTTCTAGCAAAGGATAGAATATGGTTCTAACTCAATTCTTTTAAGGATGGTAACAAACTGAAAAACCAAATAGTTCAGTAAACATTTAAGGCCAAATTACTAAGTGGTTTTATCATTAGAGGTAAATTCTTTGAGTGGCAGAGCATGAGACAAGGGATGTTTGATGGTATAAGAAAATTCCTAACTACTCATATAAAGTGGCATCTATAGTAGGCAAACAACTGCTAGTAATTACTCACTATAGACATAAGACTTAGAAGTAGTAACCTAGAATTTGATTAGCTAGAATTCAGTTTTTGAGGACAAAGCCAAAAAAGCTTTATTTTGGACATGAGTTTCACAAAAAGTAGCAGAAAGCCATACACAGAATCTGGAAAAATATATATATAAGTGTGTGTGTGTGTATGTGTAGAGTCAGCAGTAAATGAAAAAGAGATCTTATAGCCACCAATAAATTTAACTGTATATAACAAATATTAAGAAGAGCTTTAAACACTAAATGGACGACAGTTATTTCCATAGTACAGTGGTTAAGCACCGTGCATTGGGAGCTGGATCACACATGACCAAGTAGTTTGAATCCTGGTCCCAGTGACTTGAAAAACATGCTGGAAGTAGTCAGCAGGTGGTGTAGTGATTAAGGCACTGGACTCCCACAAGGCTGACTGCAGTATACTTTTAAAATGTTCAAAATCATATTTTTTTAAACCTAACCCATTGATTAAATGTGGCAGATATCCCTCAGAGTTTTTCACTGGTCTTCTCTTCTCCTTTAGAAGTTATCAGTGACTATTCACCCTCATAAAATTATCTATCAATCAATATAATCTTGAGCCTACATCTTTCTCCTAAGCGCTAGATCTGCACTATCCAATAGGGTAGTCACTAGCCATTGTGGCTATTGAATTCACAAATTCTTTCAGGCAATGACAACATTCGTGGAATAGATGAATAATGGACTATCTTTCAGCTTATCAGTTACTATACATTCATGAAAAATCACTCTCAATCATAATTACATCTCAGATATCACTTGAATCTGAGGAACATAAGTTTAGCGGCTTACCATTTTTACTATATCAGAATACGCTGATTCAACAATTACACCACGATTAGTTGAAACATACTCAACCAGTTCATTTAGTGTTGCTCTTTTAATTTCTTTGCTCTTCAAGTCTGAAACAGAGTCCATGAAATCAAACAGTATACAACACTGCTGCAACTTCTGGCAGAAAAGCTCTTGTTGTTCATTTGAAGTGGCATCTACAAATACAAATAAAGAAAATATTAGAAATGACCTACTCAGAAGTTGCATTTATACATTAATTTTGTAAAAGTTATTCTCATATATGAAATAAAACTCAGAAATCTACTGAGAAATTCACCCATCTAATACTTTAGAGTTTTATACAGGACTCTTCCTTCTCTTATTACCCACAATCAATCATTAAATATTATTCTCTTTTTTAGAAAGTTTTATTTATTTTTTATTCATGACAGCATATGCAAATGCATGTTAAGAAAGAGAAAGAAAAGCACTTTTGACAGAGTCCCATCACACTGTGTACGTCTTACTTCCGTCCTCCAATTCCTCACCACCCTGGGCAGGTGCATGAATGTAAGACCAGATCCTAGAGGTCAAACTGGCAGTCATCCATGTGGCTTCTAGCTACCACTGTAGTCCAGTATGCTACCAGTATGCAACATCCAGGTTGGGCAGATTCTGTTCCTAAAGGAACAGAAACATAACTGGAATCTACCTTTCTTTGTTATTCACACTGCCATTTTAGACTCTCATCATTCCTCTTCCATACTACAACAATGGCATCCTAATTGCTCCTCTTGCCTGGTCCCATAACCACCATCATTCCTTTTTCTTTATCTTCAAACTACATTAAAAGCTAAAATCTAGCTAAAATGAGAATCGCTATAATCATACTCCATACTTTTTTTTTTGGAGAGGTTTTCGCTATAGGGCGTGTGCACTCGCCAGACAGACAGAGAGGGACATAGAGACAGAAAGCGAGAAATCATCCCCTAGAGGGGATGGTCACGCCGCAATCATACTCCATACTTTTCAACAGTCCTCTAATAACTAGAGAATGAAGTTCAAACTCCACTGGATTGTACACAAAGTGTGGATGTCCTACAGTCAAGAGTAATCTCTCAACACTTTTCAACATGCCTGTTCACTTTGGTTAAACCATACTCCCTGTAGTTCTCTGAAGACTGTACACTGTTTCTTCCTCTACCTGGTATACCCTCTTTTCTACATACCCTCCATGGGAACTCTACTCACTTACAAAGTCTCAACATAAATCCTTTTTCTGAAGTTTTCCTTATGGGACTAAAGGTAAATTGGTTGATTAAGTTACTTTTACCCAAGTGTTTTAGGTGCATATCTCTACTGTAGTTACAGTGCTATAATGCAACCATGTTTTACATATCTTACACCCCTAGATTATGATGCCCCTAAAAATAGGAACTAAAGGTTATTTTTCTAGTTATCTCTCCCTCTCTTTCTTTCCAGTATCTCACCAAGTGTCTGGCACATAATAGGAACTGAGTAACTGTTCACTGCTTTATCTCCTACTTAATAAAAAATTATGGGCAAATTATGTTGATTTGATTCTATAAACATTAAATCCTTTTGCTTTTAACATTCGAAAAAAAAAACAACCCTTCAATCCAAACTTTCAAATTCATAATAAGCTCCAATTAGCTCAATTATATAAAGGTTATTCAATCTCTACTGAAATTAAAAAATGTTTAAATTGCATATTTCAACACTGATAATTTAGCTCATAAAACATAGAACTATTTCTCTATTCAAAACTAGTACCTGTGGGAACCAGCAGTTAGCGTAATGGCTATGTCGCTAGACTCCCACGTAGTCGACCGCGGTTCATGTCCCAGACCTGGTGGCTTAAATCTCATGCCGGGCGCGTGTGCGTGCATGCCCAAGATCCCGAGAGGAGAATGGAGGAGAAGGGATTGCGGCGTGACCATCCCCCCTGGGGGGTGATTTCTCGCTTTCTGTCTCTATGTCTCTCTCTGTCTGTCTGGAGAGCGCACGCACCCTATAGCAAAAAAAAAAAAAACCTCTCCAAAAAAAAAAAACTAGTACCTGTTGGGACCAGCAGTTAGCATAATGGCTATGTCACTGGACTCCCATGTAGTCGACTGCGGTTCGAGTCCCGGACCCGGTGGCTTAAACTCACACCAGGCACATGTGTGTGCGTGCCCAAGATCCCGAGAGGAGAATGGAGGAGAAGGGATTGCGGCGTGCCCATCCCCCCTGGGGGGTGATTTCTCGCTTTCTGTCTCTATGTCTCTCTCTGTCTGTCTGGAGAGCGCACGCACCCTATAGCAAAAAAAAAAAAAACCTCTCCAAAAAAAAAAAACTAGTACCTGCTTTATGTAAAGATACGATCAGAAATCTTAACTGAGATGATAACCTAACCAAGGATGTCTACAGTTTTTTTTTTTTTCACTTCTCTGAGGTAAGAAGCTAGTAAAATTACTTTGCAATTATATTCAAGTTACTGGCCCTTAAAAAGCTGATTTAGAGGGACCAGCAGTTAGCGTAATGGCTATGTCACTGGACTCCCATATAGTTGACCGCAGTTCGAGTCTCGGACCCGGTGGCTTAAACTCACGCCAGGTGCGTGTGTGTGCATGCCCAAGATCCCGAGAGGAGAATGGAGGAGAAGGGATTGCGGCATGGCCATCCCCCTGGGGGTGTGATTTCTCGCTTTTTGTCTCTCTGTCTCTCTCTGTCTTTCTGGCAAGCGCACTCACCCTATAGCAAAAACCTCTCCAAAAAAAAAAAAAAAAAAAAAGCTGGTTTAGAAAAGGTACTGCCGAAATGAGGAAAGTCAGATAGTCTTTAAGTTTGATCATGCTATGTCAGAAGACATGAATCTTTGTTTTTGTTTTTGTTTGTTTTGTTTCAGAGATTTTTGCTATAGGTGCATGTGCTCACGAGAGAGAGAGAGAGAAATGAGAAATCAGCCCCTGGGGCGATGGCCACACCTCAATCCCTTCTCCTCTAGTCTCCTCTTGGGATTTTGGGCACACAGGCACACAGTGCCCAGTGAGAATTTCAAACTGCCACGTCTGGGTCTCAAACCAGTCATCATACAGGGATTCCCTATAGTTCTCTCAATACTGAAAGTATTAATAATACACATTTATACAGTATTTCGCTTCAATATGTGATCACATTACATAGCAAGTCTTATTTTCTCCCATCTCAATGTGAAAACAACCCTCTTCCTGTTCTCCAAAGACTGCATATTCAAAATCTTTTCCCTACCTGAAATACCTTACCAGATTTCCTCTCCTATCTTTCTCTGCTTGGTGTTGCCAATTAACTAACACTTCTCCACCTACTTCGAGTCTCCCAGAAATTTGTTAAAATCTGTGGTCTTTGAGCACATTTTTCTATTCCCTTTGCTATTGTGGGTTCATATCTTTTTTTTATTCCTTGTATACTTTCATTTTAAGAGGAAAAAAATAGGAGATAAAATTATCATTTTTAACTAATATGCACTATCAATATCCAAGTGAGAAAGGATTTAGAATACAGCTTTTAAAAGAACATTGAAAATTCAAAGTCAATGATCTCATACTTCTTTTCCTTGCATACTAAGTAGTTTGTATCCAAGCTTCATTATAAATTTACTTTATGATCTTGTGCATGCTATATAGTGTGGAATCTTATAGTATTTTATATGTTGTGGGCAGCTTTTTTTGATGGCAAACCAACGATAAACATTTCACTTCACAAGTCATTACTCATACATGGTTCCATGAAATGCCCTTAAGTGTAATACCCTCTGATTTTGTTAAAATTCTAATTAGAACCCATTAAAATGATGTTACTACCCAACAGTAAGCTTCAACCCGCACTCTTACAAATAGTACTCCAGAACAGTATTTCTTCTCTTTTTTAAAAGCATTATTTCATTTATTGTTGTTATTATTTTTAAATTTTCTGTAGGGCACGTGTGCTCACCAGGCAGAGGAAATCAGAGAGAGGGAGAGGGAAAGTGAGAAGAAAGCAAGCTGTCAGGTCTGGGACTAGCACCACAGTGGGCCATGTGGGAGTCCAGAGCCTCAACCACCATGCCACCAGCTGGCCCCCAGAGCAGTATTTATTAAAATGTAAGCCAGATTTATCTTCAAATTGGGCATTTAAAAAACATTTTTTAAAAAAGAGCTAGCAGGGCTTTTATAAATTTTGAAAGATGTGTGAATAATTCTGCAGAGATGAAATACCACAATTCCCTACAGTTATCTTGATTCTCCCTTTACTTGAAGCCATGTGGAGATTTTTACAGTGGTGAGAATTCTTTAGTGGAATCAAACTATAGTCATAATAAAAAGGGAAGACAGTTAAAATTCATTTTAAGGGAGCAGCCAAGTGGTGTGGTGGTTAGGGCAGGTGGATCCCACTTGGCCAACTGCATAGTTTGAGTGCCAGACCCAGAGGCTTGAAAAATATGCCACGTGTGTGAGTGTACATGCCCAAAAATCCCAAGAGGAGACAGGACAAGGGATTGCTATGTGGCCTTTCCCACAGGAAGTGATTCTCGCTTCCTCTCTCTGTCTCTTTCTCTCCAACAAGTGCATATGCTCTATAGCAAAAATAATTAAAAAAAAAAAAAGGCAAAAACCAATCTTCTAGCCAAATTTAAATGATGTGTTTTGCAAAGCAAGACACATCTTTATTTTCTTAAAAGATAATTTCTTGAGGAGCTGGCAGGTGGCATGGTGGTTAAGAAAGCTGGACTCCCACATGGCCAATCACAGTTCAAGTCCTGGATCTGGTGGCTTGCTTTCTTACTGTCTCCCCCTCTCGCTCACACTCTGTCCCTCTCTGGTCAAATTTTAAAAATAAATAAAGTTAAGTAAAATAATTCTAAAAAAAAAAAGAGAGAGAGAGAGAATTTCTTTCTTTCTTTCTTTTTTTTTTTTTTTTTAGACCACAGATTAGTTTATTTTTAACACACAAAATGCCATGAATTCATAGGGAATAGGTTCCAGTAGCTCAGGTTCCTTTCCATTGGTTCTCACAAAGTGTGCATCTCTGGGTGGAGCAGGCTGGTGCTTTAGTTGAACCCAGGTACCTTTCTCTTTGGCCTCTTTCTTTTTCTGGTCATTTGCCTTCACACATTTTAGGAAGCTATCTCTGCTCTTAGAATGTTTAATATGCTCAATACACGCATTGATTCTCTTGGCAAGAATCTTGCCCTTGT